CGCCAGCAGAAATTGTAGCTTGGGGCCATTAAAGATCTACATGTGTGTAGAAGTATAATCGTTTTTGCACCGCTGTGAAAAATTCGATGCAACAGAAATGCTACTGTAAAAACACACAAAAAAATAACGGATTTAATATGCATATTTGACTTCTAGAACACGTGAATTCTACAAACATTTTTATATTTTACTAGCTGACCCGGCAGACTTCGTAGTGCCTCAATCGATAAATAAGAGACCTAAGCTTTTGTATAAAATAAAGTTAAAACAAACAAAAGGGATCCGTCCGACGGCGGACACATCAAAGGAAAAACAAAATTGTTATTTTTATTTAATTCCGAGCATTTTCATATTTTTCTACCTTTTAAACCTTCTCTGGACTTCCACAAATAATTCAAGATCAAAATTAGCCAAATCGGTCTAGCCGTTCTCGAGTTTTAGCGAGACTAAGGACCAGCAATTCATTTTTATATATATAGAAGATTAATCACGCAAGTCCATACTTACATCTAATTTTTTATGTAGGGGTATTTCATTACACCAAAATAGACTAGTTTTTGTGAAGTTTAACAAATAAAAATGCATTTAGCATAACAAAGGAATGCCATTATATGATTGAGCATTGTAAGTAATTGTTACGAAGCATGCGATCTCTGTGGGCGTGAAGAGGATGTTGTGCCAAATCCATTGTCTGAGTCGATTTGTCGAGATGAGCACCATCCGCTCGAGACATCCGATAAACGACCTAGATTACGTACNAATAGTTTTTGTGAAGTTTAACAAATAAAAATGCATTTAGCATAACAAAGGAATGCCATTATATGATTGAGCATTGTAAGTAATTGTTACGAAGCATGCGATCTCTGTGGGCGTGAAGAGGATGTTGTGCCAAATCCATTGTCTGAGTCGATTTGTCGAGATGAGCACCATCCGCTCGAGACATCCGATAAACGACCTAGATTACGTACGTCGTGTATTGTTGGATAAACAGCCGTATTCAATTGCTACTCAATATGCCGCGTGAAGATATTTCGTCGCTGAAGCAACACGCTTAAAACTCGTGGTCAGATAAAAAGATTACCTTGCAATTGTAAATCTTAAAACATCTGTGTCCTTAGGCATACTATATTAGGTCATTGACCCACTGAAAATAAAAGAAAATGAAAAGACCAAATTGTGTAAAAAATAATAATATGATTCTGCAACTAAAGATACATTAAATGACTTATTTAAAATACATTTCTTATTTTTCATACCGAAAACATTTTCATTCGTTCCACATTAGTCATCATAGTCTTTGAATACGCACGTTTCTCTTGCTATAAAATTGTACTGTCCATACGTTGTGAAGAAAAGGTCCCAGTACGCCATCCTTTGGCGTTCAATCCTGCTGTCTAAACGTACATCCTTGTCAAGCACCAACACCGGCCTGGTATCGGCAGTGGCAGGCTCCCAGATCGTAGGAATCAGATCTGTCGATTTCGGAGTGGGATTCCTAAAAAATATGGATTAGAGCTGTCATTAGATATTTTTAGTAGTACATACATAGTTTAGTATTTTCGCGAGTCGCAGAGACAATTGAAATATTATATTATTAAGGACGTTTCAAATATTGCGCTGATAACGCTTATTAAAATGTCGACGCGTAACACCCTAGACGTCAATTTTTGTGCTGACTATGAATATTTTTACAAAAACAGATTTGAACTTATTAAAGCTATAAGCTATAAGATAAGAAACGCCTAGAAGCCTAGTGAAAATATCTTGCGTGTATTCTTAAGTAGATTTTATTTTGAATTTTAAATTATGAACAACATGACTTAAAAACCACATCTCTATAATGGTGTTTATGTTGTGTTTGTAATTAAGTGATACTTAAATTGAATACAATTACCCGAATTTAACGAAATTAGTCCATAGAGTCGTTATTCGATCGACTATTAATTGCTCCTCTTCCGTCCTTTCTGTACCTCCAGCCGTTTCGAATAAGTAGTTTAATTCTGATGAATGCTCAGCCCCATCCTCTAACTCTCCGGAATAACTGAACAAATACTCGTAAATCTTTCCTGCGTTTTCGTCAAGCAGTTGAGTAATAGTTCTTTGAGACGGGTGATTGTAAACAAAGTCTGATTCAAAGTCTTGTAATTCAGAAGCAACTTCCGGTGATAAAGAGCTGTCTCCAATGTAAAAATGCCTTACGTTCTTTGCTGCTTTTTCTATTTGAGCTTCGTCAAGGTTAAAGTTACTCTTTAACTTTTCATAAAAGGGGTCTGTTGAAAAGTAATCTGCACTCAAAGACTTTTTCTCTTTATTTGTATTCCCGATCATAATTGGAGTGTTTCTAACTTTTTTCTTGTTCGTCAAAGAATAGGGATCACTTTCAACAAAATTGCTAATTCCGCTAAAAGATCTCTCTCTACAAGGCTTCAATTGTAATTCTAATTCTTTAGCAGCAGCAACTACTAAGTCAGGTGATGTTTTTATTAGGAATTGTATAGCTTCTTCAGTTTCAGTTGTATTCAATCCTAAATGAACAGCTAATTTGATGGCTGCCTCAACATCTGCGTTTACGAACATGCCTTCACTTTGTGGTGTACCGCTTTCAATGATAACCTTGTGAAATAGTTTTTCGTTGTCAGAATACAGCTGTAGCAGCACAGATGTGGCTCCGGCATCTTGACCTGCAATAGTTACATTATACGGATTGCCTCCAAAAGACGCAATGTTGTTTCGAATCCAGCTTAAAGCTTTGTACTGATCCCGAANAACATCTGCGTTTACGAACATGCCTTCACTTTGTGGTGTACCGCTTTCAATGATAACCTTGTGAAATAGTTTTTCGTTGTCAGAATACAGCTGTAGCAGCACAGATGTGGCTCCGGCATCTTGACCTGCAATAGTTACATTATACGGATTGCCTCCAAAAGACGCAATGTTGTTTCGAATCCAGCTTAAAGCTTTGTACTGATCCCGAAGTCCCTGATTTCCAGACGCAGTTGGAACATCAAGACACAAAAATCCATATGGCCCCAATCTATAATTCATTGTAACTACTAAAACTCCATGCCGAACTATATTTTTGACTCCGTAATCCGAAGCGCTTCCTGTCGCAAAATCTCCTCCATGAATCCAAACTAAGACAGGCATAGGGTTCCTAGAACTAGCTGCACTTGGTACGTAAATGTTCAAACGTAGACAATTTAGTGTTTGTTCACCGACCGACGAAGATGTTTGAGGGCACCTCACTTCGTCAACGGCATCGTGAATTATTTCTGGAAAAGCTATAGGGTCTGTAGCAGTCTGAAATAGTACAAATGTTAATTTTTTAAACAGATCGTAAACATTTGGTTGGTTATTGACAAAGTGTAATTATCTTTCGTACGGCCAGTTACATAACAATATATATCCAATGAAGAATAGTCTGGCTATTAATCAGGCGTCATAAGTGCACGGTTTCAGGTATTCCTCATCACTGAACTTTGCTATTTCGAGTACTGTAGTAGTGTCTGAGAGTTCGCAAGTTGGTACTCTCGTCTTGTGGAGCTCTCTCGTCTCTTTTATTGAGGAACCATAATGTCATTCGCCTTAAAGGGTTTTATTCCAATGCAATAGAGCTCTTATGATGATGGCTCAAACATTTGGCACAATTTAGGTGATGGCTAAGCAGTTTTTTTTTAAAATACTGCTCAAGGAGCAGATCTTATTACTAGCGCTAATTAACTAAATAAACAATGTCATGTTAATAAAACAGAATATTTTCAAACCGCACACAATGAGAATATAAGTTTGTCAGCATTTTTAATTGAAAAGAAAAACGTTCAAAATCTAAAAAAAATCAAAAGTATAAATTGAGAGTAACTATCTATAAGCCTGTTCAATTATCAACATTATAAACAAATGTTCATAGTTTTATCGGTAGCTTAAGCGGCTCTTGTGGTCTCTTTGTTAGTGAACAAATAAGTCAATGACACTTCAATTGTCACTGAATATTATGGCAATAAGTGTTTCACAATGCTTATTATCTTCACCAAGACCTTTGTATGAACAAAAGTGCTCAATAACAATAATACTTACACTAAAAGGATTATTTACGTCCACTTGGGCGTAAGGAATACCCAAAAATATGGAATAATCTCCGTCTGCTGCTTTGTGACCCCTCACTAGTCCTTGGTTACTGATAAGAACTAATGGATCCACCCTCACTAGATTAGCCTGAACGTAACTTAACATCAGCAACAAGAACCACGGCATGAAATCCATTTTACACCACTGTTTACTAAACTAAGTAAGGTCGAAGAAGCACTGGCAACAAACTACATCCCATGATATACATATTTTTATCTCGACATATTGAAAGGGATAAATTCAGATATGGTTATCGGGCATCTGAAGTGTCTACGTAACAGTTGATATAAATTTTATGATTGACGAAAGAGAGTTTTAAAAATTCTTCAGATATGTTTTCGTTACGCAATTTTGTGTCGGCTGCCTTTAAAAGGTTTTGTGCGATTGTTGTGACCTCGTTAATCTTCATACTTGTTTCCCAATGTTTTTCATTAATACTTTTTAGAATATTTCATTTCATATCCGTATAGGGCAAAAACTTTATTCGCTTACTCTCCCTGACACACATTTTTTTTACCTTTTTGCGAAGGCAAACTATTAATTACATAATATTTAAAATGGTCAGTGACATTTTAGTCTAAATAGCTTAAGCTGTATATTAGATTAAAATGCAACACGGGTATATGTGATTTTATAATTTGTTAACGCCTTTTACCATTGAAAGTATTTTGTTTTTTATTGCATTTATGGATGGACGTGCTCGCAGCCCACCTGGTGTTAATTAAGTGGTTACCGGAGTCCATAGTCATCTACAACGTAAATGCCGCCACTCACCTTCTCACTGGAGATGTTCTAAGACCTTAGTATAGTTACAACGGGTGACCCATTCTAAAAATAAATTTCAAAAAAAGTAATCAACATTTCTTTGTCATCAGCTCTGCTACTTCTCCTGGGCACATTGTTGACAGTATGGGTGCTCTATGGCATAATGAAATTGATCATGTCAAAAGTCAGAAGAACCGGTAAACTTAGATACGGAGATAAGGAGCTGGCGATACAACAAAGATTAAGAGCGCTGGATACTTTCAGAGGGTAAGCAGAAATTCTTGAAGGCACCCTAACTAAGGCTTTAATTGTGTAATTTAGTATTTTATGATCCTCATTNACATTGTTGACAGTATGGGTGCTCTATGGCATAATGAAATTGATCATGTCAAAAGTCAGAAGAACCGGTAAACTTAGATACGGAGATAAGGAGCTGGCGATACAACAAAGATTAAGAGCGCTGGATACTTTCAGAGGGTAAGCAGAAATTCTTGAAGGCACCCTAACTAAGGCTTTAATTGTGTAATTTAGTATTTTATGATCCTCATTGACTTTACCACACCCAATGCTGAACATACATACATGTTTTCTTTATAAATATCTAAAGTGTTTGATTGAAAGTCTACCTGTAGCAAAGGTCGGCGCAAGCTTGGACAATGTCAAGTCACTTATTAACTTTAATAAGCCAGAAATATTTTTTGAAACTCAATCACGTCACACGACGAGACGCACACCAAACAGAAGAATAGTTGAAAGGTCAACTGAAAGTAGCATTTACCCAGACTGATTAACTAATTCTCGCAAACTCAACCATAGGCACTGACGCCGTAAGATTCGGATTCATCTAAACATTTTCTCGTAGGTGCTAAACGCAAAAAAATCGGCTTGAAAATAGATGAGAAGGTAGCATTAGTATTATTTATTTATTTACTATTTAGTTAAAGGCGAAAATGTAGTTGCTAAAAATAATTTAGGCACCTTTTAATATCATCTAGATAAAAGTTCTCGAAGATGAAAGTAATTGCATTCATGGCAATGTTATGCTATTATTAATATTCGTTTTGAATTCGCGTAGCGCAAACCACACGTAACACGAGAACTCGGCCGCAGCTTATTCATTATACTTTATTTATATGGAGAACAATCCTAAATTATGCAACAATGTTTACTACTAAACTTAATATTCAATTAATAGTTTAATAAAAATAAAACGTTTTAAGTTTTTATATCTCAAAGTGGATTACACCATTTACATTCATCTCTCTGGTGGATTCTGGAGAATATTATGTCCTCTTATCTACAGCGATATAAAAATAAATAATACTTTTTCAACATCACATCACGACCTATGTATGTTAGTTTTCGCAAATATTTTTAATATATTCCATCAATACAGGCTTTATATGCATCCTCCGAGCATGTGATTTATTTTAAAGATCACGTTTTTGTCATCGAAATCGTCTAGAGTACGTGATTTCACATACCAACTCGTCATAAGTGTCTTTGATATTATCAGAATGGCGATAGTGTTCATGATCTTCGTGAATGACGGCGCGGGCGGCTACTGGTGGATGGAACACGCCACGTGGAACGGTATGGTAGCTGGAGACCTCGTCTTTCCAGCTTTCCTCTGGATCATGGGTGTATGCATTCCTCTCTCCGTAAAGAGCGCATTTGCCAAAGGTATACCCCGTTGGAAGATCGTCATGCACATTGTCAGAGTAAGTAAACGATAACCTTCTAAGATCAGTGATTTTGTAAATATTAAAATAGATTTGACCGCTTTAATGTCTGGAGATTTTGTCGTATAGATAGTTGAAGCAACACGACCTTAAATAATCTTTAAACATGCAACCATCTTAGTTGATGAGTTCTCTAACATACATGCGCATACATACAGCATTATTAAAAACAATGATGCACTGATTTTTTTAAACAAAAATTATATTGTGAATTTGTTTAATAGTTTTTATGCATGCCTTAAAGTTATATAATAACAGGTTAACAACTGGTTCTTCAAGTTACTTTTAAGGGGTGGAGTATCAAGTGACATTTAAAACGGGCATTGTTATGTAAACCTTGAATCGTTCGTCTGAATAAGTTTGAACTATTGAAAGAGAACATCAAGCATTGTGTTTATGAAATTTCAATCATTGCTGTATATTCCGAACTGTGTATCTACTGAATATATCGTCTTCTCGCATTAAAACTGTATAATCTCAAAACTTACTAATTTTAAAGGAGAGTGTTTTAAAGGTGTATAACAATATGTGATATTTTTAATATTAATCATCTTTGCAACATTTATTTTTTATTTTTTACCAGTTACATTATCTGTCTTTTAATGGAAGATAAAATTATGTATTAATTTCACATAGGTAAACAAAAAAAAAACTAAAACTAAACTACACTCTTTTGACAGTATTTATGTGAAAAATACTGGTGATATCAAATGATTCCGCATATTATTAACTCAATTTCGAATATTTTTGGGAATTGTACACTTTTATTGCGAAAAGACGATATGTCGATATACTTATCAATAGTTTGGGCACGCGGTAATCGGAGTCAACTTAATTCATTGCACGCTAACCGTTCACTTTCAAACATTACATCACCAAGAGACTTCCGTATTTCATATAATTCCAGTACAGATCCAATCTTTATATACTCGAGTTCGCTTCAGAATCGCTAATGTTTTTTTTTTTTTTTTTTACGAAATCCATTGGAAATTCCACGTTCGCGTGATGTCTTGTGCGCGCTCTCTCCTACAAGCAAGCGATTTCAACTTAAAACGTTCATTAGACTTCATGTTCTTATTAGCTAGCGATCAATAAAGACGCACGCTTCAATGTATGGTTTGTTATTTCTTGTTATATGTCCAACGGCTGCTATCATCATTTAAATCCACACACTGACCGACTCGGATGTGGCCCGGTTTACATTCTCAAGCGGAGACTGTTACATTTAGAACAATGGTGTACTTGGTATCAGGTTCTAAATTTCAACGGGTTCTAAAATGCTTTTACGAGTTCACTGAGTAACGGGATACTAGTTGAAGAGTGATTTGAAACGATCTTATTATCTCTGACAGAACAATGTCAGAAAACGTCAATTTATTTCGTATCATTAATGTTTTTAACTGTATGTTAATTTATGACTAGCGACCCGCCCTCGCTTTGCTTCGGAAACATTTTTATTTTATCATTGATAGCTGAGTCCCGCGATGGTACCCGCAGTTCTTGTCGTACCGCGGGTGACGCCGCGGAGCGAAGCTAGTCTAAAAAAAGTAGCCTAAGTTACTCCTTATATCATCAGCTACCTATCAGTGAAAGTCCCGTCAAAATAGGTCCAGCCGTTCCAGAGATTAGCCGGAACAAACAGACACACAGAAAAAAATTGTAAAATATGCTATTTTTCTGTATGTACCGTATTTCAATACTACAAACAGACACGACATACAGAGGAGGGCCGTTCGGATTGTCGATAATCCCACTCTCACGGATCGTTTGGAACCTCTGAGTCTGCGGAGGGACTTCGGTTCCCTCTGTATTTTGTACCGTATGTTCCATGGGGAGTGCTCTGAGGAATTGTTCGAGAGGATACCGGCATCTCGTTTTTACCATCGCACCGCCCGCCACCGTAGTAGAGTTCATCCATACTACCTGGAGCCACTGCGGTCATCCACAGTGCGTTTCCAGAGATCTTTTTTGCCACGTGCCATCCGGCTATGGAATGAGCTCCCCTCCACGGTGAGACATGTCCTTCTTCAAACGAGGCCTGTGGAGAGTATTAAGCGGTAGGCAGCGGCTTGGCTTTGCCCCTGGCACTGGCGACTTGGTCCATGGGCGACGGTAACCACTCACCATCAGGTGGGCCGTATGCTCGTCTGCCTACAAGGGCAATAAAAAAAACACTCTAATTTTATTTATATGTATAATAATTATAATATGATTTGTGTTTTGTTTGTTTTCAGCGTTCGATAATGATGTTCTTGTTGGGAATGTCTTTGAATACGATATACGGTTCGAACGTTTTGCAAGAGCTGCGTATATTCGGCGTCCTTCAGAGGCTTGCAGTTGCGTATCTCGTGGCGGCAGGCTTCTATGCGTTGACCGCACCAAAGTTTTACACTCCTCCTAGGGTCAGTTCAATCGACATTTTCGTTTAATAAAACTTAAATTCACAATAATATGGCTCCTACGATATAACTGTACAAGTTACTACGTATTTTATATTTACTTACATATTTTTAGTATTTATTTGTATTTAATAGTATGTAAGTCTATCTTGTATTGTATTTATTTTTCACATGTGTATATAAGTATATATTTTTATGTAAGTTTATTAAAATATAGCACCGTCCAGTTCGCTTATTCCTCTCCCTGCAAGGTTGCCTGGAAGAGATCGCTTTCAGCGATAAGGCCGCCAATTTATGTCACCAACTATTATTTGTTTTATATGCTTACTCTGTACATGTGGTGTTAAAGAAAAAGCTATATTATTATTATTAAATTCTTAGGTGTTTGCGGCCGAGTGGTTTTGCTGTTCTTAGATCCCCGGTCGAAGTTACTTTATTTGGTATTCGAGATGCCGTCTATTTGTTCTTGTCTCGAATGCGAATTTTCGGTACCCATTCGGCTCAGAAAGATATTAGCATAGACGGGTTAACGAGCTCATGCCATCTCTGGTGTGAGGCGGTTACCGAAGTCCATAGATATTCCGTCCCCTACCTTGAAACATGACTTGGAATTCTCAATTTTATTAAATAACGGCTGTTCTATTGCCACTGCTACTGCTTTAACGGAACGAGCTGTCTCTCTACTTAATGGCTTACTAGCCCATGCTGCAGATACGGATTTAGTCCGCGATGGCTTGCAGCGTTTCGCTGGTGTCGCAAGAAGATACTTAAACTAATTTTATACAAATGTTTTGGTTTAACTGTTAATTAAGAAGACTACATTTAAATAACTATCGAATGCTCTCAAACGAAATCTGTTGTTTACAGGGTGCATGCGGTCAGGCGTTAAAAGACGTGTTGTCTTGCTTGTGGTGCTGGGTTCTGGCGATCGTCTTGGTGACCGTTCACAGCGTCATAACATTTATCATCCACCATCCCGACTGTCCACCGTAAGTTTCATGTCCAGCCTAGAAACACGTCGCGGTTTCCAGGGTTGATCGATAAAAATCGTTTAAGGTGCATTGAAGAAAAAAAAAACAATAGAAAACCTATGCTATAATAATATTATAAAGAGGAAAGTTTTGTTTGTTTGTATTGAATAGGCTCCGAAACTACTGAGCCGATTAGAAAAATTCTTTCACTGTTTAGAAGCTACACTATTCCCGAGCGACATAGGCAATAATCTTTTTGAAAAAAATTTAGGATCCGTACTAAAACTCCAATAATGTAACCCAAGGTGTAAAAAAATTATCTAAAATATTCTTTACATCGCGTGCCCTGCGAAAACTATTGATGATAGAATAAAATAATGTACTACGACTTTGTAGAACACATTATTGTTTACAAAAAGTGTCGCATATGTCTAACTATTATAGTTAGGCTGCAATAAGTGTTCTTTTATTAAAAAAAATAAAACAACGTCAAATATCGTTGAAATTTTTGTTAAAGACCCGAGCGGAGCCGTAGCGGGCCGCTAGTGTTTAATAAAAATAATAAGATCAAAGTGCCTATGATCGCGTTTGTTATCTCAGGAAACATATTCTGACATTCAATGAGTCATGTTGTCGTTCAATTTACAATAAACACGATTAAGTGTTTGAATGCAATACAAGTAGAAAAATATGTATTTAAAAAGTCAAGTAACAGCAAATTTTTTCGATAAGAGTTATTAATAAATTGTTGATGATCACTATAAAGCATTGTTTACCGTTATTAATGTTAATTTTAATTCTTCTTCTTTTTTTCCACCTTATCCCACTAGGTAGGGTCGGCACAGCAAATTTTTCTCTTCCATTCTCTTCTATCAGCCGTCATCTCAACACTCACTCCTCTCTCTCTCGTCATTCACACACTCCATTCATGTCTTCTTCGGTCGACCTCTTTCCCCTCTACCTTGCACTTGCACTACCATTTCCATACGTCTCCTAGTCATCACATGCATCTTCTCTCTACGAATCACATGTCCATACCACGTTAATTTTAATTATTTTGAAATTTAATGTTTTGATTTCTCGTTGTGCAGTATTTTGAGTAATTAAAATGATGTGTGTAGAGGTTACTTGGGACCTGGTGGGAAGCACGATGAGTGGGTCGCTCCGGAGTGCAGTGGAGGTGCTGCTGGATTCATTGACCGACTCGTCTTAGGGGAATCACATTTGTACCAAAGGAGCGATGCGAGGAATGTCTATGGAGGTCCACCCACCGACCCTGAAGGACTATTGGGTACGGTTTGTTAATTGTATACACACTTTATTTAATTATTTTATTTATTATTTATTTATTTATGTACACACGAAAAAGAAGACATAGTACAGAGTAATAGGAAAATTATGTACAAAGGCACTGCTTATTTCTTTAAGAAATCTCTTCCAGCAGACCTGCGAGAGGATTATGAGAATAATAATTAAAAGTGATTAAAAGTGACACTTTTGACTCGCAGAGGCAGTTTCTAAATAAATTCCGTTTCGATTAAAATTTTGAAGGTAACCATTAACAATCAAAACTGATTCTACCCGTGAGGAGTCGTGAACGTACGTGTACACATAGCTTAATGACGTTAAGAAACGAACAACAAGGAAGACAAAAACAGCAACGTAGGTCCTGTGTGACAGTTCATTGCTAATTGTATGACATTGCGTGTTAAATAAAAATGGAGTTAACCAACTCTTTTTCGTAATTGTTTGATTTATTTTAAATATATTTTTTTTATTGCCGTATAGGCAAACGAGCATACGGCAGACCTGATGGTGAGTGGTAACCGTCCCTAATGGATGTCAGCAACGCTAGAGCAGAGCCAAGCCGCTGCCTACCGTTTAATACTCTCCACAAGCCTCATTTGACAAAGGACATGTCATAGTGTTCGGGAAACACTGTGGGGGGGAGCTCATTTCAAAACCGGATGGCACGTGGCAAAAAAGATCTCTGGAAGCACACTGTGGATGAACGCAGTGGCAATACTCCATACTACTACCTAGAGTTAGTAGTAGAGTAGTAGTAGTAGACCTACTCCGGTGGCGGGCGGTGCGATGGTAAAAACGAGATGACGGTATCATCTCAAACAATTCCTTAGAGCACTCCCCGTGGAACATACGGTACAAAATACAGAGAGAACCGAAGTCACTCCGCAGACTCAGAGGTCCGGTCATCATTCATCATAAATCAAGCCACAGATACAGCCCACTGAGTTTCTCGCCGGATCTTCTCAGTGGGTCGCGTTTCCGATCCGGTTGTAGATTCTGCGAAGCACGGTGCTAGGGTTCGTGTTAGCAACGTCGTCAGGTTTGAGCCCCGTGAGCTCACCTACTAGTTAAGATTACGCTGGAATAGCTGGAATTCCTCAGAGCACTCCCCGTGGAACATACGATACAAAATACAGAGGGAACCGAAGTCCCTCCGCCGACCCAGAGGTTCCAAACAATCCGTGAACGGGATTAGCGACAATCCGAACGGCTTGTTTACAATTTTTTTGTTTTGAATATTTCCAGGGTGTCTCACGTCAGCTGTGCAGGCCCTGATCGGTATCCAAGCCGGCGCCACAGTGCTGCTACAGCGGTCGCACAAGGCGCGCGTTTCAAGATGGCTCGCCTGGGCGCTTGTGTTCGCACTAGCCGGGGCCCTACTCGCCGGCTTCTCCAGGGAGCACGGGGTTATACCTATCAATAAGAATCTTTGGTGAGCTCAAACAATTGTACCATTGTAACGCTCGTAATTCGTTTTGTCTCGGTCACCATCAATCTTTAGATACCATATTTATTTTGAGTACAATAAAGAATACTAGTGGTCCCGCAGTAGTTGAAATTCGACTATAATTAATTGAAATTATAAGTTTGAACATTATTATGGTTCTATTGTCAAAGACTATTTATTCTATAATACTTCTTTAATCACAGATTTCGCCAAGACTACACTTAGACAAATATTAACAAAGACAAACAATATTTAGTCTATTTTCAATTTGACCATAGACTTTATGCAGTAAGAAAAGTTTGACAATAAACAAGTAGTAGGCATGCGTGTGTGTGTCAAATACATGGTAGTGTGTATAATGTTTTCTTAATTGATTTAATGTATCTTTTATGTACTATTTTTAAAAAATATTAGCATTGTGCTCCCCTTCTCTATATTCTCTATAAGTATGGGAAATTTCATACTCCTCCGTCCGCGCAATTTTCGTAAAAAGGGGTACAGAGTTTTTGCTTCACGTATTAATATATAGATTCTCTCTATCTATCTCTCTCTCTCTCTCTCTCTCTCTCTCTCTCTCTCTCTCTCTCTCTCTCCCCCCTCCCCCCTCTACTTGAGCAACCAGATTTTTGAGTATTACCTTTGGATACTACTCGTAGAAAAGCGTGATAGAATATAATTTGTAGTTTAGTTGGGAGGACGAGCTCACGACTCGCCTGTGAGTGGTAATCGGAACTCATAAATGTCACAACGCAAAAACCTCCACCCGTTTTAAGACATAAAACCGTAGATATAAAACCTCAATTGCATTGTATGGCGACTGTCCCACTCTGCAACGTAAAATGCAAGAAAACTTCGCAGCAGAACCCGCGCGGTTTTTTTTTCCTACCTGTTCGCTGGTAGCCTTAGAGGTTATTCCAACTACTATCCCCGGACGGGAGAACAGTTACGGGTTTCGCTTATACATAACGAATACAATTACAGTACCTACTTACGCAAATTTTATAAATTGTGCGAGTTTAATTTTATTACATAATCATGGAATTCATTCGTGAAAATTTTTCAAGTTTGTATAGTTCGTAGAGTATTATTGCATATCTGTTTGCGGAATTTGAGAATCGATTGAGTACACCCGGCATCCTTTAGGCCATGACGACTTCAAATCAATACTGTTTTCTCTTTTCGTATGAAATAATTAGATTTCCGTGATTCAGCTTCGTGAGCGGTTTCCTTACTGTATCTCAGCTTCTACGATAGAATAAAATATAATAGAATTATATCGTCTGAATTTCTTTGATCCAAGGTCAACTTCTTTCGTGTTGGTGACGTCGGCATGCTGCCTTCTACTGCTGAGTTTCTGCTACACACTCACCGATGCGTGGAGGATTTGGAACGGAGGGCCATTTCGTTCTCCTGGACTCAACGCTATAGCTCTCTACGTAGGACACTCACTATGTGCACATTTGTTCCCCTTTCACTGGAAAATCCCTAATATGGAAACGCATACAATCAAGCTACTTGAGGCCGTCTGGGGTACCGCCTTGTGGGTCATCATTGCTCATGTCATGGCCAAGAAAAAGGTGTTCATAACACTATAGTTTCGGATGTTCTTATATTTTCGAAGTTTGAGAGTGAGTTTGATACATTATAATTTCTTGACTAAACGATTTTCATTATTACAGATGACTAATGTTGAAAATTGTAAATTGATTATACATATTTACTGTAATTAGTTATACTGTTTAAATGCTTTAATCGTAAATTTTTTTTGGTACGCATTGTTTTATGTTATAGCCTATTAATGAATATTGACTTGAGTTTTTTACTATAAGAGAAGAAAACATGTTATTTCGAATTGAACATATGAAAATTTATGCGATTTTCTTTGGTTTTTGTGAAAGATAGACATAAATAAAAATTACTTTTACCTTAGTTGCATGTGATGACGATAATTCTTAAAGTATTCGACACGTCGAGATAATAATGATAATAAAAACGCGACCTAAAAACCATAAAATTGCTTTTAATTATATTAATACGAATTGTTTTGGTTATTTCTTACGTAGGTAGGTACATATATTTTGTAATTTCTTTATTTAAACTAACATATCTAAATAACGCAAGACTTTTTTGTTATTTAGCTAAGTCTAAATCTTAATGCGTCCATTTAGGTTCTGACTTGTCTAAAATATACTCATATTATGTTATATTATATTATTTAAGGATATAGGTTATAAGACTGAGTCTAGGTGCTCCAAATACAAGTTTAGGGTAAATGTTATCTTTTGTTTTAAAATCTAGTCTGTTATCCTTTGAAACTTAAACATTTAATGAAAATTTTAAAATAAATTACGCAGCGAACCAGAACACGTTTAAAATGTAATTCCTTAATCATGTAAATGCAAATAAATTGTATTTTAAATGGAATTAAAGAATGTGTTTGTATGTATTCACTTTAAGTAGTTACTTACACTATTAAAATGTAATCAAAAACTTTGTGTATAAAAGTTTTGTTAAACAAATCCATAAATTTCGTTCGAACGATTTTCCATTAATGAAAATTACCAAACAGATCTGATTAAGTTCTTATGGCTTAGTTGGCTGGACGTGATTACGGCCCACCTGATTTTAAGTGGTTACCGGAGCCCATAGAGATATGAGTTCTAAGGTCTCAAGTATGTATAGTTACAACGGCTGCCTCAACCTTCAAACCGAAACGCATTACTGCTTCACGGCAGAAATAGGCAAGGTTGTGGTACCTACTCGTACGTACTCACAAGATTTCCTACCACCAGTAATTACGCAATTTATAATTTTGTGGGTTTGGTTTTTACTACACGATGTTATTCCTTCACCGTGGAAGTCAATAGTGGACATTTGTAAGTACGTATTTCATTAAAAATTTTGTACCCGCCTGCGGGATTCGAACACCGTTGCATCGCTAGATACGAATGCACCGGACGTCTTATCCTTTAGGCCACGACGACTTCAAAACTTACATTCGGGGATGGGAGAAATCAAATCAGGGGGCGTACAGATGAATTGCAAAGGAAACAACCGGTTTAGAATATTTGACGCTTTATTAGCTCAAGGGTGACAGTAAAATCGACAATGTCATTGGAAAAAATAATAATAAAACAAACGATTAACAAATCATGACTCAAGGTAACAGAGTATAGTTTTAACAAACGTAAAACTATTAGAATATTAATATACTTTAATAACGCATAACACGATTAGCGAGGGCCGATCTCGGACTCCCGAATTTAAATAATTCATTCGAGATTCTGTCGTATAGTTTTATTTATTTATTTATTAAATAGCTTTCATTAATCGATTTTCTTTTCTTTCAAATCTCGAATGAATCTTACAATGTCACCCGATATATGCGCGGTGCGTACAACACGACAAAGTATGTTTGGCATTTTGTTTACACGACACATCATTAACCACATATATTAATTTCCATAAGTTAAACATATATATATATCAACCTAATTTAGTTTAATTTAAATAAGTCGTTTTTCATTTTAATCACTCATTCGTAGACGGTAAATGCCATAGTAGGAATTGATAATATTCTTTTTAACATATATATATATTTCTTTAAATACTTTAACGTAAGTTTCTCTCTACACAGTAAAGGATGCTTGTATCTCGGACGCATGTTGTACGTCAGTGTTGGTCCGGCAAGTTTCCGGAAGGCACTTGGCGCATACATTTTGTACTAGACCCCGCAGACTGGCGGAAGTGTCATCCTCTTCCAACGTTTGCGTTGCAGACGAAGAAGCATGCCAGACAGGCACGGGTGAACAATATGCGCCCGGGCTTAGACGTCGTCATTTGATATTCTTAACACTTATTATTAAAATTGGTAAAATCGATAGCTGATAGCAGGCACGCTCTTTCTTTCTACCGTTAACTTTCTCGACACAAAGATTCTTAAACTAAACTAGAGACCTAACTTGTATATCGATAAAGACACTTAAACAGTGTTCCGTATATAATATTTAATTTTCTTAAAAATTCATTAGAAAAAATCTCTTAAAATATATCTCAATTCTATCAAACGGTCCCAGCCGGACACAATTAATATATTTCGAAATATGAATAGTTTCAGCGCTATGTATGTAAATATAACATCTTCTTAAATATCTAAATAGGAAGAACATTTATAAATGTATAAAGAGAACATTGTAATTGCACAAACAGTTAATATTACGAAATAATGTTTTGATTTCACGTTTAAAGATAAACATTTCGATTTATAATTGATTCTATATATTATATATATATTTTTTTATAAATTAATCTAAAAAACATTTTTTTCTAGATATAATAATAATTATACTAGCGATATTTAGCAGCTCTATAACAAGAAAATTAAATATAATCTTTTTTTAGAGAAGATCGGTCTAAATAGTGCAAGGCGCTGTGTTAATCGAAATAAAATGTCTAACTGACAGCAAATAGTATTATCGATTAAAATATCACCTTGCATTCCTGTAAATATGTATAAATATATCGAGTGACCACATTCACGCAATAAAAAAGTAAACGATCTTTATCACATTGGAATAATTTATTGGTTTTACTGCGTATATAAAAAATAATTTTTTTTTAATTGAAAAACGGTGGTCACGTGGTCACTCTAAGCCAAATTAGTTATGTGACAGAAATTTTAAAATTAGACCGGTAAGTACTAAGTACTGGAGCACATTTTTAAGTCACACGTATTACTTAAAAGAAATGGAATGTTTAGTATCGTAATATGAATGTTAGAGTTGAGGGGCGCTCGGTGTGAGCGAATAAACGATAATCATAGTAGACCGCGAAAACGTTATCGATATTTTAATTTAAAAATCGATATCCGAAATCGAAATTGTAAATTTATCTTTGTTATTGGCAACATCAGAACTAAAAGTATAATAATAGTTCTGATTGGAGATTCTCTGTTTATGTTAATGAATGCCCGCATTATTTAACGTTATTTATTTATACAGCGTGATTATTTTGCAGATTTATTCAACGTTATTTCGTATGAAGAAGACGGAAAGAAAAAACAAAACTCACACTAAGTCGGCGATCGTATCGCGATAAATATATTCGTTTTCGCTAAATCCCGTAAAAATTTATAAAATATCTCTCCGATGTGTACATTAAAATCGTTAGAGCGAGTCGTTTGAAAGCACTGTCAAGGCATGCCATTTCTTTGTACTTGTCGATCCACATAGTCCAGCCGAACTGATTACAGCTAATCCGCTGAACGAGACCCGATACGGCTCCACGAGAGACTAGACATTACCGAGAACACTTAACACATCATCGTCTAAGCCACAGGTCCCCAACGCGACAACGTAAAACTAACTTTATCTTAAATACAAGGTAAAATCTCTAGGACGATACACATTTCGATTTAAATGCAAATTCATGGAATTCAATAATAACCGGTAAGACTTAATATGCGCCTTACATTTATTATGCTAAAATATTCCCGATACACGAAACCGTATCAAGATAACGCGAAGGTTCATTTCACACACCAGTCGGGGATACGGCGTGTTCCTTAACTAAATTCAATTAAGTAGTGTATTAGTGACGTGCCTACTCACGTCCGATTTATCGATGTCTGTTTAGGCCGGTAGTCGATAAACTCGGGTCAACTCTAGCGCACGCGGTCGCGACCAACGCACTCGGTAACAAATAAAACTTAAAAAAAAAAAACGATGCTTCAATGAAAACACGCGTAATGTAAATAAAACTTAAAATTTATCGCATTTAAAAATATATTTTACGAGATTTCAAACAACACGTTTTTTTATCTATACTTATAATCTAAAAGCCCTGTTGACGAGGCATCGTTACAACGTCTCCGTAGAATAAACACCTAGTGTGGCACTTGACTGATGGTATACCGATGAATGGATTTGTTGGTATAAGGGATCCAGCACCACAGAATACCTATTTTAACATGTATAGTGAGCAACCATTTCAATGCTTTCCTCCCCTACGGTCCGCCCGACACTGAATGTAAATATATCCAAAATATACATTAATACGTCGCTTCGTACGCATTCAGAAAGGGACAACGTTATCGACAAAGATATCTGTAACCGCGAGACCAGAGTCCCGGACAGTCCGGTTGATAGTTCTTTAGTTTGCTCCCAGATTAACCCGGACAGGCAATAATACTGTCAGGTATAGACAATGTTCTAATGTTCTGTGAGCAAACCGTTCAACATAATTGGACATTATCTTATATTATTATTAATATTTTCACTATAATTACTGCGATATTCTTTTACTTTGTAAAATTCAGTGTTTAATAAATAACTAAATTTCTAATTATAAAATGATATCCAACTTTGTCAAAATCTGAAACATTCTGATATCTGGTGACGTCGATATTCAAATGGTCGAGCTCGAGCTAATAATATTTTAGGTATATTTAAAGATATCGTTACTGAGCTCGGCACCGTACAGCGGTATGACGTCACTGTATTATTCCGTGGTGACGTCACTTCCGGGCGCCCCTCGCCACCATGGCTTGCAGAGAGGCTACTTGGCTGAGGAGACTGGCGTTCTTCTGTTCTAAAGTCTCGACTCTCTTTCTGTAGTCATCATTCTCCGATATCAGGATCTCGACCTTCCTCTCGAGTTGGTCCATGTACTCTTTCTTCTTGCGTCTGCTTTCTTGTGCGGATATCTGCAAAGATCAAGAGAAGCTAGATGACTGCGAGACTAAGCCAATATCAAAGTTTGCAATTTTTTTTTTTATAGCTTAGATGGGAGACTAGCTCACAGCCCACCTTGTGTTAAGTGGTTACTGGAGCCCCTAGACATCTACAACATAAATGCTCCACCCACCTTCAGATATAAGTTCTAAGATCTCAGTATACAACGGTTATACACATATAGTTACAACGGCTGCCCTACCCTTCAGACCGAAACGCGTTAGTGCTTCAATAGGCAGGGCGGTGGTACCTACCCGCGCGGACTCACAAGAGGTCCTTCCTACCACCAGTAATGCAATTGCAATTTTATAGTTGAGAGTATTCAAGCTGTACCTTGTTTTTAATTTTCCTCCTGATTTTCTTGAGGGATTTCTCCTCGGCCTTGGTGAGAGGTAGGCGTGTAGGCACCGGGTAACCTTCCGCTAACAGAGTGCGTTTTTCTTCATCAGTCAACACCAAGGTTCCCGTTGAACCTTTCTGCAATTTTCCATAGAAGTTTCAGAGATTGAACGTTACTAGTTAAATAAATTGAATTATCGGTAACTACCCGCTGGATTATGATAATTAATGTTTTAAGTTTTAACTTTCTAGAATTCCATGCTGGAACATTTCATTTATTTGTTTGCTCGACGAATATCCAATAAGAACGTATAAAGTTTTTAGTTGCTGTAGTTTCAAGAAAACATTATTTGGAGACAGAATTTTGAAGTCGTTTAGTTTAGCATTCACATGTAAAAAATACACCGTTCACTAACGGTGCTTTTAGGTCGTCATTTCGGATCCGAAATGACGTGTTTGGGGCGACTTTCGACTGCTTTCCATTCTTTTCGCACGATCGGGAATGTAGTTACCGGCGGCCACGATGAGAGGGTTCTCGTGTCGTGCCGCTTTATCGAAGTGGTCAGTGGGCATAGTTCACCACTATCAGTACTAAAGATAGTTAATTACCGGCTGACTGCTGATGAGTGGCGTGTTGATGGGCTGCCTCGTGTGGTGCGACACGTAGAGGTGCGGGCGGCGCGAGGGGGCCGGGGGCGCGGGGGGCGGCGCGGCCTCGTGCGCGGGGGACAACGCCCCCTCGCTGTCCGACGACGAGAGGGACGACGGCGGAGTCGGGGGCAAATTGAAACCTAAACCACAGTAATACGATCACATACAGCTTATGACCAATAGTTTAATAACATTACTAATACGTCATTGGGTATCACCGACCTGGGGAAATGATTAAAAAATGTGACGGTAATATAAAAATCGGCTAGTCATGTTAGTATTAATTTTAGTATATTTTTTTTGTAATTAAAATCGTTGAGAATATATATATATGTATACATGTACTATTGTAATCTAATGATAGTCGCTTCAGCAATTTCCAGGTGGATTTCGAACGAACAAACAGTAAACTAAGTGGGCTATCTGGGTTTCGTCACAGTTCATGAGCGATAGTCACCGCATTCCACCAAGTGCACCATTGTACAGTTTCCAGGGAACAAAATTATTTTTATACTAGTTTTGATGAACAGACGAATGAGCTTAAAGCTCAATTGTAAAATACGACTTTCAAAAGTTTTTAAAATTTGCACTTTATAATAATATTCTTACCATAATAACTTCATAATATCATCTCAACATAATAATAATACATAATTATCTCATATGACACAAACAAATGAAAATAAATGTTCATGAGTAGGTTAATGAATAGTAAATTTAATGTCTAATTGATTACCTGAAGCACCCGAGCTGGATGTGACTTTAATGGAGAGTTTATTTGAGTTGAGCGATGTGGCGAGTCGCGGTGCTGCGCTGAGTAGCAACTGTGGCACCCCGGCCGCTCCGACCTTCTGTAGCACTGCTTGTGGCATGTGAATAGTTCCGGTCTGCAAAGTACAGTTATTTAATTAGTATGTCGGGGACGGTCATTAGTTTGGTAGCTAAACGAACTGCTAACTTCGTCCTACGACAGAGCCTAGCCGATGGAGGCGCGTAGACGCCATCACACTTACCAACCAGCCTCCTTGAAGAGCGATGCCTCCGTCCAAAGAAATGTTATTCTTTCGTTTACTAACGTTAAGTGAAGATTTCTAAATCGTTCTAAGACAACAAACGTGTTTGATGTACTCAATATTTCTCTTAGCTCGATCACCCTATTCGCCCCAATGATCTCTGACGATGGTGTTAATAATTGTGGTTTCTCCGAAAAGTATTTGATTTACATCGCTGTTCGGCAAACGCTTTTCGTTCAGTAGACTTTCTGGTATTTCTTCGTTTGAGATACATTCATGGGGCCACGATGTGAGGAATTTCCACGTGGACTTTTAATTTTGATCTATGATTCCTTAAACCGACTTAACCATTAGATATTTGGTACATCTTTACAGTTTGGAAATCAATGATTCGCTTAAAGAATTAAATTTAGTTTAAAGCTAGAATCTGTGTGCTTAGTGCGAGTTTTTTAACTTGTCGATCGCGTAAATGTTAACTCAAATTTGTATGGAGTTTAAACAGCGCTCCTAGCAGCAAATGAAGGGAAGGTGTTCCAACTTCATACAAATTTGAGTTAACTTTTACGCCATCGAGAAGTTAAAAACTCGCACTATAGATCTATTATTATGTATATTTGCGTTACATTTCGCATGTGTGTGAGGCCGGTATGTTATACTGAATTTTCCGAGTGGTGCAAATTCAAATATCATTTATCAATAAGACATTTGTATTTAACCACGAATAGGCCTTGGGTTAAATGATTTTTAAACCATTATAATTGAAAAAGAAGTTACGTTTTTCTGTTAGGTTAGGAACTCGACTATTATAGAGATAGCATTACTCCTTAACTAATACCGAAGCTATTGCTCGAGACAAATCAACAAAACGTATTTAATTCGTAAAAAATATCATTTAGTTTTCGTTTTATCAAATCTAAAATGAATTTAGAAGATATATTTTTTTAAATTGAGGCGTATTTTCTTGAACTCAAGCGTGGTTAATGTATTTATTATATTTCACATTCGTGAATCCGTAATGTTGTTTGAAAAATTTACAGCTGTTTCTACAGTTTGAGTTCACGTTAGCGATAAAAGCGTATCGGGTTCTTTTTAAATACGTCGTATTCCTTTGCGCTGAGGCTTTTGTATTTAATCTATGTTCAGTTGTATTTAATCTATATTTTTAATAAAAACAGTTTTACAAAAAAAAAGTTTTTCTTTTACCCAAAGATAATTCATATTGGGTGTGTTTTCAACCAACAGTTTTTCGAGGAAAGATACCAAGGGTTTTTGGATAAAAATATGTTAGTGTATTACTGTTGGTCTATAATAAGGGAAAGTGATATGAATCAGTATAAAAGAAGAAATAACACAACCCATTTTTGATTTGTTTTTGAGATAAATGTATAAAAATTATTAAAAATAAATATAATCAATATGTATTTACAAAATTGGACGTCCTAATTTTTTCCAGCTTCAGTTTTTAAGTAAGAGTTTATAACTCTACCGATACATATCAGTTTCATCTCTGGGTAAAAACCCTGTAAAGTAGTGAAACTAGATCTTTGAAAGATTCGTGAACTTTTGCATCGTTTAGGTTTTAATTGTTTGATGTATTTGGTTCTTTCACTTTTCAATTTAGATCTGAGTAGCCCCAGAAAAACTATTGGGCAGGAAACACAAGGAGCGAAATTGTGTGATTTTTTTTGTTTCTAATTTAGTGTTTATTTACGGTTCAGCACCTGTGAAAGCGTAAGAATGTGGGAAAAATGAAGCGTAGCGGTGTTCTACCAAAAAACCCACTGAAGTCTCATTAAATAACCAGAATATTACTGAAATTTCATATCATATCATCTCGATTTATTTAATTTCATCTCAATTCAAATAAAGTAACTTTATCTCATTCAGCTACATATCGTTTTTCATATGGCAGAATATGTACATTATATTAAAGTTGTATATAAAAGTCATATATAAAAATTGGAGTGTCTGTTTGTAATATTGAAATAACCGCTTTTTACTACATGAATATGAATATATATTCGGTACATACACCAAAATAACATTTTTTACAATTTTTGTCTGTCTGTCTGTCTGTTTGTTCCGGCTAATCTCTGGAACGGCTGGATCGATTTTTACGGGACATTCACTGATAGGTAGCTGATGATATAAGGAGTAACTTAAGCTACTTTTTAGACTAATTTCGCCCCGCGGCGTCACCCGCGTTACTATAATAGCGGCGGGAAGCATCGCAGGACTCAGCTAGTAAAATATATTACTTAAAATATATATCGTTATTTAAAAGTTTATATTAGTTTTTAGAAACTCGACAATAATAAGCAGTATGCCGGGATCTTTCCGGGCGAGCTAACCAAATGCTGAGTAACCCGGTGGTGCAATAATTAGCGGCCCTGATTGTTGCACCGAGGGTCGTGGGTTCGATTCCCACATCAGGCAAACATTCGTGTGATGAACAGTTTTGTTTGCTCATGTATATATTGAAACGTATATAAGTATGTATGTCAGTCTCCAGTCCAGGGAATCTTAATTTCGAGCCAGATGAACGTACATGATTTGTTTTTAGTTTTGTTTGTTGGTTATATTATGTCTAACAACGGTCATTACGCGAGTTTATCCATTTTGCATGTTTGATTTTGATAACATTTTATTCCTTCATCGTTCTGGCCACATGTTTTTCATATTCTACATATTCAATACAATAATACAATAAAATCTTAAACTTGTGTTAAACTTGTGAAAATGGAAAATTAATTCGAAAAAAAAACAACAAAAAAACCGATAGACGGATTTTTCAACAAAAATCGATAATAAGTGGATTATTGCAAATTGTAATGGTGATTTTATCTTGGGGTTGTTAAGAAATCACAGTATGAAAGTAATTGTATTAATATAAAATATGTGAATGTGAAAGCTTATACACAGCTTAAGTGTCGGTTCATGAATGTGCGGTTCTTGAAGAAGAACCATCAACCATTCATCAAGAACCGCACATTCATGAACCGACACTTGACCGTTGATTTTTTTGTCGAATTATCAGAGGTCGTGCGAGTTGGAACCACTAGGGTTGTAAGAGGTATTGGAAAACCGATAATATCGATCGCAAGATATTACTTTAATATCGTTATTATAAATTAAAATAGAATTGACAAAATTTTGTTTTTAGATTTTAGATTTTGTCGAGAGGATACGATATGATATATGATCTTTACAAAATTATATTCTCGTTTTATGATTTCTACACGGGTTCTGGTAGCTTTTTAAATTCACAAGATGGCAGCACTGATAATTCTTCGTAGTGTACCACGGATACTTTTTATATTATTGTTGCTGAGATGCTAAGAGAACGAAGATACAGTCTATCTGCTTTGGAGTGGCTTCCGAAGTCGATAGATATCACAGTTTGAATGCCGTCACCCGACTTGAAAGACAAGGTTGAATTGATTTGTATTACGGCTATCCCTACTCTTCACATCAGTATGCATGACTACATCCCAGCGGAAAACAAGCAGAATGCTGCTACCTACTTGTGTAAACTTGTAAGATTCCTTGTAAGATACTACTAGAAAACACTAGTGGGCGATCGCAGTGCCCTGGTATAATAAGCGCCGATACCCGTTCTCCAGTAAAACACTTAGTCGACTTTAACGACACCCAATATATGACACTAACATTTTGATAACGTCTATAAAATGTTCAATATTATCGATAATCGATACCTAACAATTCATATGAATATCGATTTTTTTTTTCAATCTTATTTTACATCTCTAGGTACAACTTACAACGCTATTATTATCGAGTTGATGTGAATTGAGATGATTTCGCTCGTGACGCGTACGTTTGTAATTAAACACGTTTTGATGAGTAATACCCGACGTGGGTTAGATATGTTATTAGTCCCCTAATTTTTTAATATACAAAATATTGGTTCGCATTTCCAATATATATGGCGATAAATTGTTGAATGGTACGATAGACTTTTTTACTTTACAATGTATAGGAAACAATTTAAATTGATTTTTAATTAACCTTTTAGTGTATGTCGCGTGAGTTGATAATATTAACTAGCTTATCATTGACACGAAAGAGCCCGGTTTTAAAGGCGGGAGATACAGGCGACTGTTGTTCATCCCAATAGATCCATCAACACTAGTAACGCAAAATTTACTTCGCCCTGGATCTAAATACGTCTTAGTCGTATTGTAGACATATTGTCTTCTAGCATTAAAACTGTGTAATCTCAAAACTTACTAATTTTACAGGAGACTGTTTTAAAGGTTTAACATGCGATATTTTTAATATTAATCATCTTTGCAACATTTATTTTTTATTTTGTACCAGTTACATTACCTGTCTTTTAAAGTAAGATAAAATCATGTATTAAGTTTGTTAATAGTCAAAACATAGGTAAACTAAAAAAAAAACTAAAACTAAACTACGCTCTTTTGACAGTATTTATTAGAAAAATACTAGTGATACCAAATGATTCCGCATATTATTAACTCAATTTCGAATATTTTTGGAAATTGTACACTTTTAATGCGAAAAGATGATATGCCAAAGAAGAATGACTCGAGTTTAAGCATTTTAAAGTAAAGCAAACCATTCCTTACCGTATGATCAATAACATAGTCAAGATGTGTGAGCGGTGTGCCAGGTGTCGGTGAAGGGGGACAGGAGCTCGTCGGGGACTCCGGTTCAGATTTAGGCTCCGACTTCACTTCCCGGGGCGGCGATTCACTGGACCGTCGCCGACTACTCCAGGCGCTGGCCGGCATCGCTGGGTAGCATTCGTCTTCCATATCTGAAAAATACGAGGACTTCCTTGTATTTATCCAGGACCAGGATTAGGTACCTAGTCTACGAATCTATTACTTTTTTTTTCTTTTTTATTGCCTTTGTAGGCAGACGAGCATACGGCCCACCTGATGGTGAGTGGTTACCGTCGCCCATGGACTTCAGCAATGCCAAGGGCAGAGCGAATCCGCTGCCTACCGCTTACTTAATTAGAAGTGGGCGTTAATGACCGAATAAGGGTAAACATTGCGCTTAAGGTACTTGCTAGTAGAAGCCATTACATTGTATACGTCTGAAGAAATAAATCCTTCAGGAGTTAATATTGAACTAATATTGAATGAAGAAATTTAGTGAAATTTCAGTAGGTGCTTGCAAATTGTTTCCCCATTTACTCTATAAATTAAACAAATATTAAAGAGGATCAAAATATACGTGATAGGCTAAATTGGACTTTTTCTTTTCTTTTTACTGCTTAGATGGGTGAACGAGCTCACAGCCCACCTGGTAGGAAAAAAAAAAGTTCCATCCTAAAAACCAAGGCAGGTTGTAGATGATGACGACACCAAATTCCCTCAAGACCAAACTCGGACTGGTCCTTAATTATCTCAATATTCGTCTTCGATACATAGATTCTTAAGAACATGAATACCATTAATATTTATCTTAGTATAGGAGTACTTTTATTCCGTTACATCCTGTATTTTGTTTGGCTTAAAAAATCGGTATTGTCGGCGTGGTATCGTCTTCTTCGATACACAGAATTTCAAATTAATATAATCTAATGGTATTCAGCAATCGTGTAATAGAAATCAAACCCGCAAAATTATAATTTGCGTAATTACTGGTGGTAGGACCTCTTGTGAGTCCGCGCGGGTAGATACCACTGTCCTGCCTATTTCTGCCGTGAAGCAGTAATGCGTTTCGGTTTGAAGATTGGGGAAGCCGTTGTAACTATACTGAGACCCTTAGAACTTATATCTCAAGGTGGGTGGCGCATTAACGTTGTAGATGTCTATGGGCTCCAGTAACCACTTAACACCAGGTGGGCTGTGAGCTCGTCCACCCATCTAAGCAATAAAAAAAACAAAAAAAACAAACGTACATTCACGCAATATATTATTCTTGGAAATCTATTAAAACGTTTTTGCTGAATTTACACCTCAATTTAAGTGGGGTTTGCAGTTATTCAGAGCAATGAAAACAGTACAGCGGTGCAAAGTGCAGCTAATTTGAAACGTATGAATTTTAAGTAGTTGCTTCGTATTCAAAATAATTGCGTTGCTTTACAAAATTAAAATTTGGCATTGTTTTGAGTTTCTCTGGAAACTTCTCTGATTATCTATATATATATAAAAATTAATTGCTGTTCGTTAGTCTCGCTAAAACTCGAGAAAGACTGGACCGATTTGGCTAATTTTGGTCTTAAATTATTTGTAGAAGTCCAGGGAAGGTTTAAAATGTAGATAAATATGAAAATGCTCGGAATTAAATAAAAATAACAATTTTGTTTTTTCTTTGATTTCGTTTGTTTTAAGTTTATTTTATACAAAAGTTTAGGTCTTTTATTTCTCAATTGAGGCACTACGAAGATTGCTGGGTCAGCTAGTAATAATATATTTTTATTATTTTTTGCATGCCAAAATTATTTAAGGTTTTTGTTTGTCCTTCGGATACAAAATCTTATCGATAGAAAAAAATACAATATTCGTGTATTGAGACAAAACTTAATTAATTAACATTTTGTTTTAAATTTAAATGGTAAAGAAGTTAATGCTACTTTTTTGTCGAAACTGTTAAGATAATAAGGTAAGATAATAATAAAATTATACATTGAATATGAGGCGTTTTGTATAAATCCTTTTTGTGACATGTATAACTTATATAATTTTTTTTAATACATAAAATATCTTTGTTTTTAATTTAAATATTATTTTATTTCTATATAAGAACATTAATTCTGTAGCAGAGCCAGTACAACTTAAGAAGACAATCCGGCCCATATCTTCCTGAATGTAGCGTACGATGCGTTCTGATTTTCTATACTTAGAAAGAATTTGTATTGGTAGAATTTATATATTTTGTAACCTCATAGATCAAGCTGTGTTACATTATGATATATAATTACCATATCGTTGTCGGTAACCAGATAAAGTATAATTTTTTTCTTTCATTTAGAGCATTGAAAATTTTAAGAAGTAAATATCTTTATTTATTTAATGTCAGATTATTTCATAAGTTGTCTTCTGGTTTCGTGGTTTTCTGAGTGAATATACATTAATATTTATTATATAATTTGTAATTATCACGGGAACCTTACGTACTGTATAGTACACAGCCGAATTTTTTATTGCCCAAGCGATTGTTTATCAACATTTCATACGTCACATACCGTTATCCGATTACTTTGCTAACTTGTTGACTTCAACATTAGCAATGTGCGAATGCACGCAGTGTTGCTCGTATACCAAGTTCTTCTTCTTCTTAGTCGAATACTTCATTGCTGAAGGTCGTGTCCTTGAAAGCCCTTCGTGGCTCTTTGTACCCTCAGCTTCCATTTGCTTCGATTTTCGGCTTCTCTCAGGGCGTTCGTAACAGAGAGTCCAGTGAGCGCAGTTATCTGATCCGACCAACGGTTTGGTGACCGGCCGGCGGGTCTTTTCCCTTCTACTTTGCCCACCACAATCAATATTTCAAGGTTGTCTGGTGGCCGCCGAGCAATATGACCAAAGTAACCAAGAACCTTCTGGTATACCAAGTACGGTAATGTTAAACTAAAAATATTGTAATCCAGACTGCTTGTAGGAAGATTGTCGTACTGTGAATACACCGTCTGCATCTCGGGTCTCGGGAGGTATTTTACACCTTTAAGTTTACGAAGTGAATTAAGATGCTCGTAGCCTAAAAGACCTAGCGTAATTTGAAAGATACTATGAAAACTGAAAATCTCGAAGAAGAACGTAAATTTAATGTAAAACTCACAACAACAATACCAAAATATATTTCGATTTCCTAATCGTGTCGTAATTCTTCAAACAAGAACACACGATTAAGTAATTAAGTTGTAAGCAAGAAATTTCTAGAACATGAAACAAAAACGAGCGTCAGTAAATTTCGTAACCAACTTAATTAAATATTGATTTTACATTAACGGACTTTTACAAAGGTATTGTTATAATTTAAGAGAATTTTGTATTAATATAGTGAACTATTTGAGTTTGTAGTAAAATTTTAGCCGTGAAATTAGTTATATTATCCGTGAAATTTCAGGACTTAGGTAATTAATATAATGAGTTATATAACCATATCTTATATTATTCTTAATTTTGTTTTATTTCTTTTTGCTTTCGTATCCAGACAAGCTTATGAATATGCGTGGCTGCGAACATTTGTAAAGTATTCGTAACTTCGGAAGATCTAATCTAAGCAAGGAGATTTTTCGGAGTTTATAATTTTTTATTGCAATCAGGGTCAATATGCATGGGTCTTATTTTTATGTGTAAATGTTATTGTATACAGGAATAGATACGTATTTAAGATACGATACGCTTTTTTCTAAATTTTTAATAATAGGAATAAGCTACTATGAGAGAAATAAAGTTTAAGTTAACGGATATTATCACCTATTGCCATTTTTTTCGGTATGAAGATTTTCCGTGTGTGTTTATCATTATTTTTCTGTTTCTCATTAGGCTATCTTTATATGTATGTATATTCGTTTTGTTCGAATATTTTTAAACTTTGTTTTTCGAAAAATATATGTATTTAAAGTAATAACATATTTTTTGGTTTTTGTCGCGTCCATAAAACTAAAAGTGTACTATGAGTGTTTACATATTACGATACACTACATCCGTCAACAAGCCAACATCCTTATTCTGAATACAAGAACCGTTGTTCTATTTAACTAAGCCGAATGCAAATACCATTCATCATTATGACATCATCTATTATTGCCGGCTGTGTGGCACAATCGTCAAACGACATCTATCTAAGAACGTTATTTTGATAGGACGTATTTAAGAACTATTACGGAATCGTGCTTTGAGTTTTATTTCAAAACCTCAGTCGAATCAGTTGTTAGACGAGAGAGTTTATTTATTTTGAGAATGCTAATGCTATGAGATGTTTCAAATAAAAAGCGTTTAGGGAATAAAGTTCATTAGGAATAAGGAGGGAATTAAATCAAATTATCCTTTAGTCAAAGCAAAAGTTATGAGTTTCGTCGCTCAGAATCGGCTGTTAACTTCAATCTTCTAGGAGCTCGTTCGATTGATGTTGTTTTAACAATATTTGTACATTGGAAGGTCTAAATCGCCGCTGTTCTCGCATAAATTACTAATCAATAATAAAAACGTACGACTTAGTCTGTTCGTTTTCGTGAAACTCTCAATGTATAAGTATCCTTAAATTTATAGGCCGTAATTTTTTTTATGTATTTTTTAAACGTTTGTTGTTTCAACAAAGCTTTTAATGTTAATAAATAATTTTCTTATGTATTATAATACATAGCTAATTAATAGCGAACAAAATTAAATATGGAGGAGTTTAAAAAACTTATTTAAAATTTTCTTAGCCTCAGTTTGTTTCGCATCTATTTGTATGAAGGAAGGTAGCTTATATTAATACAATATAGACTTTCAGCCCATATCTAAAGATACTTGTGCTTGATGCTACAAGCATAAATATGTTTTCGTAGAAAATTTTAAATAAATTTGAATACTGCAACAGATTTGAAAAAAGAAAACCGACTTCATCAAAATAAAATTAGTAGGTATATTGGTCGCAGTCAATTATCAAATGAATTGTTAATAATAACTCAAAAAGTACTGGTCTAATCCTGATATTGGTTCATAATAATTAAACGCGTAGGAAGTATTAGGTTTCAAATAAAATAAAATATAAGACGTATCCTAGATAAAAATTCTGAAGTAAATACGAAAAAAAAAACAGTGGAATTAAAGACCTCGCCTATCATTTTAGACACATTAAACAATTTCACTTTTATTA